GGACATTATGATATCGCCTGAATGTCACAAGAATATTTTCGCTTGATATCACCTTGACATTCAACCAATATTCCGTGCTACTTGGGTAATATACTCCAAATTTAAAATTAGGTATTAAAACTTATATACCATTGGAAAATTTTTGTAATTTTTATTCATTAATACAATCATTTAAAACTACTTAAATTGACAAAATTATTAATTGATATCATTAATGTTCATAAAAATATATGTATACGATAATATACTCTTTGTAATAATAAACATCTGAAAAACTATTTGATAACTTTACAAAATAATAAAAGTAAAGTATTTTGGTTATAAGATACATTTTCTCAAGAACTTTCATAGCCTCCCCTAGTGGAGCCCGTTAAGGCGCTCCCAGTGCGGTTGAGAGTTATGATGGTCGAGGGTTCGAGTCTCAGAGTCAACACGTCCCAAGTATTTTTTTATTAATATTTTTGATGTCAAATAAAAATAAAATGTAACTAACTTTTATAAATGCTCTTTAAATATTCCTAATTTATTAAATTATAATTATAAATTATTAATTATTATTATTATTATTATTATTATTATTAATTATTACATTATAAAATTGCTTAATAAATAAAATTAAAATTCTCTAATAAAATTCACCTACGCATCTGACGTCAGATCTGACGTCCGAAATTATTCAAAATTGATACTACGAATCCGACGTCGTTTCCGACTGCAGATCCCCATGTCGAATCAGGTGTCGGATCCGAAGCCGAAAACGGCGCAGGTTCCGATGTCGTATCTGCTTGGGAAACGACGTCGGAATTTTCAGTAGTGGAGCTATGTTGCAATTCTCCTGAATTCGACAAAGTTGTATTCAACTTCCAAACTCTCTATTCGTACAAATTCAAGGAACAAACTATTGAGATTTCATTTTTTTCAATTATTCAGCAAAAATTCAATAGACGAGTTGGTCATTTCATTTGAATTCTCAACCGATGAAAACTCATTGGTACGATTTATATTGAATATACAAAGGGCTTTACTGAATCTTGCTTAGCGAAAAAAACGAATTGGACCTTGCTAAAAAAGTTAATTACTTATAAACTGGGCTAACCTGGGAACTTCTCCACACGGGTAAGGAACTATGAGAAAGTATTCTTCACTGTTTAAATTAACGATTTCAGGTGATCAGATTCAGTTAGAAAACGTTTAATAAAACAAAACTAAAAAAATAATATATTTTTATATGTAATATAAGAGTATACCGAGGGGAAAATAATTTGTGAATTAAGGTGTACACTTGTTTTGAATTATCCTGAATTATTTTGAATTACATGAATTATCCTAAATTATTTGAAGTATTGTGAATTATCATGAAATACTTTAAATTATCTCGAATTACTATGAATTATCTTGAAGTATATGAATAATCCTGAATTTAAGTGCTTGAATTTGATCCTATACTGCGTGCTCGGCAGAGGTATTCTCCTGTATAATCTAATGCAGTGACATTTCCACTTCATTTTATATCTTAGCTAGCTCCATCTGTAAAATTTAACTAACTTTTAGTAATTTTCACAACTACATTGAAATTCCACTAATTTTATGGCGCAGGCATTGCAGATTAAAGGTATATCCAAAAAATCATAATAAAATTTTAAACGCGTTTTTCTCAAAACTCCTTTTTTTGAAATGACCGAAAACATCATTTTCACAAATCTCAACCGATTTACCTAAAAATTTAACTTTAGCATCTTAATAACATTATGTAGAGAAAGACGTAAAGAATTTTTATAAGTTGCATATTTTTAAACAATTTAGTGCCTATTTTTTTAGGAAAAAACTATGTGTTTACTTAAAATTTTCACCATTTTTACAAAACTCAATAAAAAAAATCCCCTACGTCTTTCTCTAGCTTTTGAGATGTAAAAAAATAAAAAAATTTGTTTTTTCTTATGAGATGAAAATTGTAACAAAAAGCTTTCCGGTCGCGAAGTGAATCTCCTCAAAAAGGGTTTCTATCACGTATCTGTAAACCTGATATTTTTTTTAAAAAAAAGTAATATTTATAATGTACGTTTTTTAGAGGTGTGCAAAAGCTCGAATGTCCGAGCCGAGTAAAGCTCGAACTTGACTCGAGGTATCGAGTAAATTCGAGTACTCGAGTGAATTTGAGAATTATAGTCATTTAGATACAATTCCCCAACGTACAAAATTTTTAAAAATATATCAAAATAATTGAATTTCTGAAAAATAACAGGTTATATTGTTAGAAATAATTGAATTTCATGCAATTTTAAATTGAATTTTTTTTGTAAATTTATATCTCTGATTTTTTTATTCAAACAGACAATATTTAAATCTTAGAAAATTATTGATATAAATTTTTAAAAACTTTTTAAATTATAAAAATAGTATTTATTTGGTGAAGAATTTTAGATAAAAATTTATAAATACTTACCGTGTCGAATAGTTCCTATTTAGATTTTTAGAATTAATTGAATTTTAAAAGAATTTGAAATTTGAATTACTGAAGATTTTTTAAACAAATTTTTAACAATAACAGACAATAATTGAGTTTTAGAGAATTTCCAATTAAAAAATTTTAAAATATTAAACAGTAGGGGAGAGTAGTCAAGTTTGGACAGTGGTCAGGGTTGAGTCATCGCGTTTATTTTGTTTTATTACACTCGATCCATCTGTCTTTGTATTTATGTATTTGTTAGCAATGTCAGCGAACTTTTCACATACGTTGTAGTGAAGTGTGCAAACAATAAAGACGTATTATGTGAGTCATCGCTGTACGCTCAACAAAAAACTTTTTTCTTCTTTCAAAAGAAGACAATAAAGTACAAAAAAAATTTGTCAAAGACAAAGTAACTTGACTTAAATTGTCCATTAAGATGTTATATGAAAATGTGGATCGTAATATGGTATTTGGATAACGCGCTTATTTTTGTGTGTGATGTGACGCTAAACGAGGGTTGAGCCACCCAAAAATTTTGCAATTATGAAGGGTTCTTGCAATGAACATTCATTCGTCGACTAAAAGAGGTGTCAAAAACTTCATTTCTATTGGAAAGAAAGAAAATACTAATTTTTGATATTTTTTTTCACTTTTCAAACCAGCTTCGCGATACAAGCGAAAATCTGAAAATTACATAATAAGGGCTTTTTATTTCAATTTCGTGGTTCTTTTACACATTTCCAAGTGTATTTGAGCGCCATTTTATTATTTGAAGGTCATTATTAATCATTTATCTGCATATTTCATTAATTTTTTACAGTGACTCAACCCTGACTACTATTTTTTTTTTAATTGACTATAACTCTGAAACTTTTGGTCAAATATTTTTACAATGTTCAGCAAAAACATTACATTTTAGTAGAGCTTTAGAACCATATGCGAGAAATCTCAAAATTCGGCCTACAGGGAAAGTTATAGAGAAAAGTCAAAACACTCCCCTATCAAATAGGGGAGGTTGGGGCTAAATGTTAAATTTTCAAGAAATATTTTCTTTTAGGCACCAAAACCCCTAAAATGCATAAATTTACTCGCACCTTTTGTGAAAGTTTTTATTGTGTCCACGGCCTTAGGTCTCTTTCTTTAGAGCGAGTTACAAATACAATTTGCTAAACATTGAATTCGAAAGGCAACCGAAACACATCAGAAATGTAAACAAGATGAAAAAAAGGCATTTAACATTTAGCCCTACGCTGTGTTTTTGACTTGGACTTCTTCTTCTTCTTTTAAAAAAAAATTTTATTTATTGGATATGATGAACGAATTTTGTAACTTTTTAAAATTTTTAATTTTAAATAAAAGATACTTAAATTCAATTAATTATTGTAAGATTTAAATCACATAGTGATTAAAATTCTTTTACTACTTATATTAAATTACAAATAAAATTATAAATAATATAAAATACAAGAAAATTAAGAAATAGAAGGTAAAGAACCTTAATATAGAATAAAAGACTTCATTTTCATAACAGTTTCGTAAATAGAGTTCAATCATTTCATAAATCAATACACAATTTGAGCAATATAATTGCTCAATACAAGGAGTGGCTCATCGAAGGTGGATCACGCCACTACCCAAATTTGCAAGGTTGCAAGAAGCGACTTAGTGACAATTAAATTCATTATATTTTTCCCACTCTTTTTGTCAATTAATAAAACCAATTGTTGATGAGAAATCGAGGTCTTCGTAGTGAAGTCGTCGAGTGAGATGGGTGGAACAACCCCTTTGACCAGGGTTGTTCAGAGTGTAATTAAGGTGAAGTTCTGGAGAGAGAGGTCTCAAGTGGAGACGGTGATACAACCCGCAGTTTCAGGTTGATTTAAGTGTTGATTGTAAAAGAATTCTCTCATTGTCAGTGAAGAAATTATTTTAGTTGCATTGAATTATTGATTATTGAGTTGTGAGATATTGATTATTGATTTGTGAAATATTAATGTGCCAAACTCTTGCCCCAAGGATTTCAGGAGGAGAAAGACCAACGTTCCTTGCAAAAAGTCGGTACTTGAATTTCTATGTTAATATAGGCTGTATCGACTCTAAAACAGTGACGTCACACTAGCCGTAATAGCGCATACCTACTCTCGAGCAGTATTTCCATGTTTTCTGAATCAATTTTTGGCAGTAATCGACTTTTTTATTATAAAAAATGAAAAATTTCTAAAAAAATATAGCATCATTGAATAGAGCATACCCAAATTAGTTAATATCGATTGTAATTATTTTATTATGTTTTAAATATTAGTGCTGTTCGCTAAAAAGGCGTTTCTTTAAATATCTCAAAATCACTCTGAATGCAAATACCGACTTTCTTCATTAGGACGGTAGAATAGAAGAATTTATTGAAAATAATGAAATAATTAAGTTTTTTAAAATTTTAATAATTTAAATTATATTTTGGAAATAATTGAATTTTTGAATATATTAGCTTACTATATCTTTGAAAAAATCTGTAAAATAAGGATGAAGAAATTATTTTCTAAAAGAATTATAATTTTACTAATTTTTTCAAAAAAATATTATTAACAAATTGTAATTTGAACATTTGTTTTACTAGATGTGATTATTTAAATAAACTAAATATGTTTTTATTGTATAAAATATTTTTTGTATTAAAATAACAGACAACATTCGTGATGAGTTGTAATTTACAAATCGGCAAAAAAGTCAGACGCATTAGTTACTTTGCTACTTGGTAGATTGTGTTTTAATTGTTTTTGTTTTCCACCTTTTAATTTCAAAGAAATGTCTAAATCTTCAAAATACTGAACGTTCCAAAATTTCACATCATTGTCGTAAGACGATGAAGCAATTAACGTTCCGTCGTTGCTGATGTCAAGTTTTTCTACAGGGAAATTATGTTGGCCTACTATTCCTAAGTGTCTATTTGGAAAAAGACTTGTTGCTCTAAAAATACAAATTTTAGATAAAATTAAAGGAAAACTTGCAGTAATTTTGTTATTTGTGTATTTTTAACAAAAATTTACCTTAAACGTCCATCTTCACCTCCAGTTACGACCACATTTTCTGTTAAGGGAATCATACAATTAATGGCCTTCTTTGTTAAACTTGGAACTTCATCCGAATGGAGACCGAATTCATTCCAGTTAAAAAGGTACAGTTTTCCTTTACTTGTAGCACTTAAGATTTTGGTTTCGCATTTAAAAAGACCAAGACACGTCAATTCTTCATCATATTCTTCTGACTGAAAAGTAAATTTGATTTTAAACCGAATGTAATTTGTAAAGGATTGATATTGACACGTTAGATTCAATGAATGACTAATTATTATTAATGTATATTTGACACATATAATATAAAATTTCATATATTAGAGTAATGTAGAGTGGAATGGTTTGGGTCTTTATTTTTCCCATAAAAATAATAAAAAATTGAGTTCAAGGGGAGGTTCTCATTGTGGATGTTCAAAAAATGAGGTCTATAATTTTTTGAGGAAAAGTAAGAAAAAAGAATGCAATGTATAGAAAACCGAGTACCGAGTAACATGTTTCAATCGATACCATTTATTTCAAAATTTTTTTTCGTCCGCCACATTGGATCCGCCATTTTGGATTTTTGTAAACTAACATCATATTTGTAATTAGTGACCCCAAAGACCCCCCGAGTAGCAAGTTTCAAAGAAATCCGAGCAATTTAACAAAAAATCATCTATATTAGATCCGCCATTTTTAATTTTTTTCATATATCCAATTTTATGTTATTGAAGTCACTGAATTCAAATCAACATTCAGAAGAAGCAAAAATTATGTTTTAGATATAGAAATTAAGTAAATTCCCATAGAAATCAATTTCTTAAAAACCACCCCCCAACATGTTTGTAAAAAGAGAACACGAGCTAACTTTTAGGTCGGACTACGTTTTTCTCTTTAGATACATCTTAAGAAAGAGAATTTACCATATGGCAGTCCTGGCAATTAAAATTTTTTTCTTTGGTGTGCTTGTGATAATTAAAAAATTTTTAATAACAAAAATATTTAAAGATTAAAAAAAATTAAGAATTGAATAATTTATAAAACTAATTTAATGTGTGGGAAAGCTTCTGGAATAAACATAAACTACATACATTATTCATGTTAATTTATTTATATATATTTAAATAAAAAATTAAGAAATATATTTTTTTTCAATTTTTCGTATACGTATGAGATCAATGGTTTGAACGTGGAGTATGAAGAACTTTAGTCTCTTGTTTCTTGATAGATTTCAAATTTTCAAGATTAAACTTGAAAGGAACTGAATGTATGAGGCATCGTCAAATTTTGTATATAATAGTATGAGTATGCCAGTGTGTCTGGGCCTTCGATAATTCTCAGAATTACTCGTGATTGTCCGAGAAAATTCGGTGAATTTCGAAGAAAGGCGGGTCGGCTGATGAGCGGTTTGGGATCGGGGGTCGCGGGGAGGTATTCGGGGTGTAAGAATAATAAAAGTATACTTCCGGGGTCTCTCGGTCTTATTGCTCATTATTCTGCGGAAGTCACGCCATCCCTGTGTCCATTGCCAATGACTCATAGGTAAATTTCAATGCATTTAAATAAATACGTTTTTTATTAAAAAGGGGTTTTTGGGGAAAATAATATTAAATGACGGGATAATAATTTTGTGATTTCATTATTTTATTAAACATAGGAGTGGCGTTTTTAATTACTGTTTTGATGGGTGAACTATAAAAACCAAGTGAGGACGCGAGCAAGACCGGAGACCCCAGAGATCTCAAATAATTGACATTTTATCGTATAATTTTGATCATTGGAGGTTGCCGATTCAGACGTTCATTCAAGTTGGGCAAAGATAACAAAAAATCTATATCAGACATCTGTTAATGATAATTTGCCTACGGATCTGACCGACATCTCTCCGGTTTCAAACCGTCTCCGCCTCATCATCCCGCATCAGCAGAGCGATAAGTCATTTTTTTGTTTTATTAATTGTGTCTATTTTTTTTATGTAACGTTTGAATGATTCTTGTGATTTTGTAATTTTTTTGTATATAATTTTAATATTAATTGAATTCAGGTGTGCCTGAAAGTGAGATAATATTTTTGACATTCTCAATCAAATGTATAACTTGGGCCCAAACTCATCATTAAATTGTTATCATAAATAGTAATTAGTCAGTTATCTCATTTCATTTGGATATTATTGTTTTATTTTGAGAATCATTTAATCTTATTTTTATAAAAGGAACGGTGTATTTTATAATTATCAAATTTATTAATTTGAATTGACGCCAAACAGTCTCTTTCTATATTTGTATATTTTGATAAAAATAATTTATTACAAACTCTTCCATAAAGTCCTCGTCATAGACTTCGTATTCCATGTTTTTGATATGTTGTCGCAGTCTTGTCATCTTTCAGTCTATTTTGTTCGTTAAACGTAATTTCGCATTCAACGAACCCAATATGAAATATTTTGTTTAAGTAGATTGTTAATAAACAATTGCAATGCTAACTAATTGTTTATTAACAATCTACTTATCCAAAACACTTCATGTAAGGCTTGTGTGTTGCGAAATATCCTAGCGGATGGAAAAAACGCGTTTTGAACGAAAAAGCGTTGAAACAGCTTCGGGAACACAACGGTCACTAAAAATGTTATTTAAACAATAAAATATGATAAAGTAATTATTGGGATTTGTAGAAAAATTGTTCACGAATAATTTAAGACCTTATTTGTATCAAGTTAATACGAAATAAGTGAAATAAAAGATAAAATATGGAGCTCTGTTATATTAGGGTATTCTGTCAAATTTTTATATAATTCATTGAAAAGTATTCTACACGGAAAAAAATTAATCTCTGAACTTGCAGTAACATTAATCTTACCCTATTAAAAAAAACACGTATAATTATACGTATAATAAGACATACGAATTTGAAACAAGAATTATACGTATAATTATACGTATAATTGTACGTGTCTATAATTTTTAATATTTAGGAATATATAAATATGGAATTTATTTTTGTTTATTAATATATACCTAAATATTATAAAATATTGACAAGTATTATTATACGTATTTTTTCAATAGGGTTAATGTAAGATTAAGGTAAGATTAATGTTATTAATGACATTATAGTCATAATTACGGTGATAAGTTGTGTTTTTTATTTTGCCAAACTTTCTACTTAAAAATCCGGCAGCTCCCTACGGGGGCGGCAACATTCTCATCACGCGCTTCGCGCGTAGGAGCTCGCTTCGCTTGCATAATTGAGCGCGCCCCGGGGCGCGCGTAGGACGATCGTCCCGCTTCGCGGTCTGATATTGATGCTGACTCTACATTGGCTGCGCAAACGTGTACGTGAACGTGCTGACGTCACAATGTTATTCAAGTCGGTTCTACAATGGACACGTTTGTACGTGAACGTGTACGTACCGTGCTGACGTTACCCACTTGCACAACATTGTGACGTCAGCACGTACACGTTCACGTTCGCTTACAAACGTGCCCATTGGAGAACCGACTTCAAATGGGTGACGTCAGCACGTTCACGTTCACGTACACGTTTACGCAGCCAATGTAGAGTCAGCATGATGCGCGCTTCGCGCGCATTTTCTTACGTTGCGCTACACGCTCCGTTTGTCTTTTACAATTAAATAACCTAGTATCATTAATTACTTTTTATCTAAATTGTATAGTTCAAAAATTCATGAATTTCATTTAAAACTTGTATTAATTATTCTATCAGAAAGTACTTGAATGACCCAAGAATCAGTTTGGTAGAATGAGATATTGTAGTAGTTTCAGATTTTTTAGTTCATTTAACTAAATATTGAAGTGAGACGTGTAATAGAAAGAAATTTTTTTTATTAATTTTATTAAAAAGAGTAAATTTAATTACACACAGAGTTTAAATAAGTACAAAAGTAGTTACTTTAAGGTGGAAGCTTTATGTAAATGACCTGTTTTGTATAATTTATTAGGAAGAACTAGTATTTTATATTAAAATGCGCTGAATTAAATTATACAAATAGGGAAGGTTTAAATGTATTAGAATAAATTTTTTATCGAGAAAAAAAAGGGCGGCACTGCAGCTGTTCAGACTTAGTTCGTTAATTTTGCGCCGTTGATTGGCCAGTTCTTTGTAATTAACGAAATCAACAAACCCAGATTATTTATTAAAATAAGTTATTCCTCTTCAAATTAATTTCTATTGAGTAAACGAATAAATTAATTGAAAATTTTAAAACATTTTAAAAAAATAACTTAATAGTAAATCAATTTTTAAAGCAACAACAAAATTTAATTTTATAGGAGGTATTGGGAACGGTGGTCTAGTAACAATCTAGTAACTTTGACCCATTCTCTCCCTCCATTTTGTTTTTTCTACTCTTTCTAACCTATTAATTGAAGAGAGACAAAGAAAGAAAATGGAGGGAGAGAATGGGTCCCCACCAGATGGCGTATTGCAGTTTAGCCGATCCCAATCGCCCTTTTTTTAATTCCTAAAAAATTTGTGTACAATGGATGTAAGTGAAATTTTTAAAACATTTAATTTTCTTAAAGTACTTTGACTTTAAGGATAACATTCTCATCACGGCACTCGCGTTTCACGCTCGAAAATTAGAAAAAAGCGATAGCAAAACTTGCAGATTTAGAGGAATTATTAAAGAAAATTCAAAATAGCATAAATCTAATCTTAAAAAGAAAAAAAATTCTTGATAATGCTGTTATCATGTCGAAATTTTTGGGGTGCATGAGGCCAATGGTGTTTGCCAATATTGCACCATTATAAAAACATTAATCTAAATTTTCTTCATTAAAATACCAATCTTTTATTTACGACGTGCACAATATTAAACAAAAAAGGTTCAAAAAAATAGTTTAATCGATATACACCTTCACTTTACATATAATATAACTGAGCTAGCTATGATAGTTAAAATGTTGTACATAGAATTTTAATCCGAAAATTTTGATATATTTTAACGAAATTTAGATAATTTTATTGTTTTTTTGACGAAATCACCTGGCCATCGATCTCAGGCGACATTTTGGTACACTTAAAGTATATACCAAATTTGAAGTCGATTCATTAAAATTTATTCAAGTTATCGTCGGACCAAATTTTCTCTACAGACAGACATTTTTTTAGGACCCATTTTTTCGGCATCAGAAAGTCTCAAAACGTCAAGATATACTGGAATTAGAGAATGCTTAAAATCGCCCAAATGTAA